CTAGTCCAGATGGAGAATTGGTGTCATGTTCATATCGTTATCACAACTTCTACAGGTATAATTATCACCCTGGAACTCAGGGGCCATTTCAAAGTTTGCAAAATTATTATCAATTTGCTCTTTTTGCGCTTTAATTCTCTAAATCTTTCACAAAACTCCATTTTCTGCTGCGTGGGAACCACCAACATCTATTTAATCTTTGACTTCTCTAGATATTTCCAGAATCCCTGGGTTACTTCTTAATGCTTTCTCGCAAAGCCTAAACATCGGTTGAAGCCATTGGACAGTTTACCATTTCAAAACTATAAGCATTTGCACCCGCAGTATGATGCCATCAGCATGGAATGGGGTGGTTTTTAGGAAATATAGGTTATACGCCATATCCATTGGCTTCGCAAGGAGATATCCAAATAAAAACTATACACTATTCGCCCCAGTGTCATGGGCTTTGGCCGATGATCCCGATAATATAAGGAACTTCATGAAAGTGATAAGGAGACAAAGTTGTCTATGGCTAAAGTAATGATTCTGAGCTATCAGAATTGGATAAGAAACAAAACATTAACTCTGTCCGAAACTACTGCATGCCAGACTCACATCCTACTTTCAACTCACGGCCGACGATATGGGAACCATGACTAGTCATCTGACTTCAAGAACATATCCAAAATCTTCTAGATCTTTCCGGTGTCGGTAGGCAGACTACAATATAAATTTCACCCAAGTGGCATGCCTTGTATTTATGATCCAGCTCAACACAGAACAGCTTCTTGGTCAATTGAAAGACGCCACATGAAAGAAGAAATCGGCACAACGCAACCAAAAGGCATAATAAAGATAAAATAGCGTGGAAGAATGGTTTCGCATACGGCTCTGTTTCTAGCTCCATCTAGTCACTTGCGTATCTGCAGCTTTCTTTCTCATTCACCTACATTATCACATTAACTGGTGCCAGCACATGTTACAAAGGTATGACAGTCACCTTTTAGCGGCGGACCTTTGGTACCTGAAACTGAAGGTTGACGGAGTTCGCTTGTCAACGAAGCTTTTTTTCCATATTATAGCTACCAACACCACCATGTTTTAGGTCTATTTTGATGTCGAACGACGCATTTCAACTGCTTGCTCAGTTGCTAGAACTGCCAAAAGGCAAATTCTGCAGCATTGGCGCGCGAATATGACGTTCTGATCGGCCTATACACGTCTGAATAAGGTTCAGATGCGTGCATTGGAGTCCTGAATCGACAGTCTTGGTAGTCTACATATACCGCCTACTGCTAATATGGTCGTAGTAAGTGCAAATGCAATGTTACGCAGAACAAATTCAATTGCCGCTCCACTCGGCAAAGTCTGGATATACGACTACGCGGCTAATCGTCTACCATCTCACCTTAATTGGTCGCGACAGAAGCCTGCAGACCAAAATCAAGTTACTGCTGAGGATATTGGTGTATTGACAGCGTGGTATGAGCGCTTAGAACCTTTAATAAAGCGTATTCCGGCCAAGAATATCTACAACTTTGATGAAACTGGCCTTACACTAGCAATTTGTACGTGTAGAATATACAGGGCTAATGGACAAGCTGGCTTATTCAGAATTACATAGAGAGTCCTCGGGGTTTTATTATGACAGAATTGTACGAAGACTCTCAGTGTGAGTTGGAAATATGTCGTTCGCTATGGCGATGTACCCACCTTATATTATAGGGATCCTTTCAAAATGTAGACGTACGGTGGTCCCACATAGAAATCCAATTCACTAAGGAATAAATCTCTGATTCTCCCAAATCTGAGAATGCCCAACAATTTAAGGGTGAACTAACTAACAACTGACTAATGACATCAATAGTTCACAACTGGAAAGACTAGGAGATAAGGGGGTGTGGTAAGATCCCTGTATGTGACCTGTAGGGATTCCAATTCTTAATGAGGGTTTTGCGAAAAGAGATCCACCAGAAGATTAACCGACACGACCACGATATGTCTGGTCCCTCAATCCCTTCAAAAATTTCATCAGCTGGAACCCTTGACTATCTTTCGCTGCTGCCTTCCCAGTTGATCTGCCACCTTTTCCGGGAACACCATTCGCCGACCTTTCGTCTTGCATCTTCCCCACTGGCCCAGCGTCGGTACCAGATGGTTCAGCTGACATAGTGACACTCATCCCAGAGTTTCCAGCCCTCGCTTTGGCTTGTCTGGCAGGAATTATGACATACAATGTCACGATAATGAGGTGTGCATCTCTAAAACCCTTCATCGCGTTGATAGCAGCATCATATGCGGCCACAGCAGGCGAATCCGCACCCTGCTCCCTAGATATTCTCTGAACGAAGGAACGAACTGGACGACCATTTGATCGAAGGTGCTGAAGAAACGCCTGATGGTTGTGATTCATGTAAATCCGAACGCGATCCAGGAAAGCGCTCTTGCTCTCGTCCTCCACTAAACCGAGATATGCGTCTAGAGTGGGGACCAGGGGGCTCTGGGCTGCAGTCGGGCCACTGATATTTGTCAGCATTTCTGCCGAGCCCTCAACTTCCTCGCTACCTTCCCACGCCCATTTTCGGTTGTAAGGATCAACGTCAGCCCCCGTAAGCCAAGGACTGATTTCCTCGTAGAATACTTCAGGTCTCACTAGTTTTTTAGTACTCATCAGAACATCTTTCATCTGCTCAATAACAGCAGCCGCTCCTTTGAGGTACCTCGTAATTCGCCCAACATCCGGATCATCGTTACCTACAATCTCATCCATGGCTAACCTCATCAACTCAACAGCTTCGGCGCCTTTCAGTTCTATGCGAATGTCTGTCATATGAAACTCGTTCTCATCAGGGGTACCAGTAAACGTGGTCTGGGTCTGGAGGTTATCGCTTGTCGGAAGGGCTCCTTCTTCGCGTGGTTCTCTGTGAGACCAGTTATGAAGAGCGTGATCAGAATAGGTAATATAAGGGGCGTGCTGAAGTTGCCTAGAGACTCGGAGGAGAGGGACGGTGAGCGACCGAGGAACGGTGATGGGCTCCCTTGAGGGAGTGGTATGTGTATAGAACTGAACCATAAAAGCAAGGACAAGATGTGCTCGTCTCAGCTCTCTTTCGCATCCTTTAAAATTTTTGACAGATAAAACTGGCATCTGGCAAAGACCAGTCAGACATGTGCTAATTGATTAAACTACCGTCTGTGCCTTCTCAACGGTCTTCCTCCATGCTCGAGCTTTCTCCTCCTTGACTGTTTTCTGTTGAGGATCCAACGATAAGGCCTGTTCAGTCGCTCTTGAGTTTCTGTGCCTTTGCAAATTCTAAAGTAACCTCCCATGCTTCCCATTCAGCAGAAAGCCTGCACAGAGGCATCCGTGGCGGCACAAATCCGGTTCGGTGGTCCACATAGAAATATTCAGGAGTGGCTGTGTGCGCATTGATTTCCTTGCGCGACTGGTTGGGATGATACAGAGTTCTAAGGTCAAAACTTCAAAAGATGTATTTATCTTTCGAAAGTAACTTGTTGCGAGATAAGTTGCAGAACTATCGATTGCTCTGCTCAAGGCGTCGTTAGGTAAAACACGAATGGTGAATAGCAACGGCGAATTGCTCAAAGTCGACCGCAGGTTATGGCTTACTGCAATTATGGGGTCAGTCGTGAGTGCTGTCGTAAAGAATAGCTCTAAGATCATCCCAAGGTATATATATACCCCGAAAGAGGTTTGTGCCATTTATAATCATATTTGGCAACTATCGGCACCAAGCATGTCGATGGAGCGGTCTCGATTACGGGCCTACCTGTTTCGAATTTTGTCTATGACGAGAAGACTTGAAGGGATATTGACAAAAATCTGTTGACATCAAATAACCAGGCCATCCATGTAAGCTGCTAAAGAGAGGATATACCTAGCCGTAGGTTCTAGGCGCTGAGATTCGGCCAGTAAGAACACGAAGCAGTCAGCTGTCTCAGAGAGACAAAAGAGAGGTCGCCGCGTTTGTTAGCTCTAATAGCACTTTGGATTCTCATCCTCCTTTTAGACAAGCATGGCAGGTATGTAGGCATTGTGTCTGGTGACACCTCACTCTGTTCAACTTCTTTGTTGGGAAGCTATATCCACCTAACTACAGAACACCCTGCCTTAAAGTGGACTCATAATAGGACCCACCTCTGATAACTTCTTGAACGGGTTAAATCTAATCCTCCTAGAATAGGACCATTTTTGAGCCCCGTCACTCCCAATCCACATCTTGAATATTTTCTGGAAGCTGCCGGAGCAGCAATCATTAAATGCTTTCTTGATAGCTCATTTCAATCACAAATTACAAAATGCTGGAGTGGCGGAATACAGACCGACATGCACTGCGAAGTAAAAAACGGACTAAGTTCAGCCATTCGAGTCGAAAGACGAAGGTACAGGATTAAGAAATGAAGGCGAATCAGGAGACATCATCCGGGTAGGGAAGCGTACCCGCTGCCCCTTTCCAAAGGCCGGCCCGGGCTTAGCCCGCACTGATCGCCAGGTATAAGACGGCCAATCTTCACATGATTATATCGCCCACTAATTTTTAGAAACTCATTACGTTGTATGACTCATGAAGGGCGTTATAAAGTAAAACAGACAACAATAAGCAGTCTTCTATGGGCGCTGCATGTCGTTTTCAAACGAAAGAGGATGCTTTGGTGGACATGCATGGACCTACCCAGCTTAACTTCCTTTCCAGGTAAAATGATGTTAATGCGGCCCCACCAACATAGCCCCATACCATAGCCACATTCTTAACATTCCTCCCTACAGAAGCACCATCTGTGTTCCCCACACAACTTGCACACAACTTAAATTGGCAACGTGATATATATCGGCGAAACTCTTCTTGAACGGTCCACTACCATACGGAAAGCAACCAGCCAACTTTCAGCCACCAAAACACTACTAGCAGTACCTCCTCGGCAGCAGCAGCACACACAGAAAATGAGTATCCCGCTAGAAACTCACAAGTTCTGCATCATCGTTGGTGCCGGCGTAGGGGGGACTGATACAAGCTGCGGAGCTGGTTCGGAAGAAGGTTTTGACAATACACGATTTGCAAATTTTCGAGCGGGACAGCGACTACGGTGGAGTCTGGAAGGCGGCGACTTATCCCGGAGCGGCGTGCGACGTATTCAGTTGCACGTACCAGATTAGCTGGCATCGAAACCCAGGTGCGTTACAATCGAGAGCTGGGTGTTGATTTTATTGGCACATGTTTCATCGTCCTCTATCACAGCTAAACCTACTGGCTAACGTCTGTTTTGCTAAGATTGGGATTCCCTCTTTCCTACTGGCTCAGAGCTCATCCAGTATTACAGGCGATTTGCGGAGCACTATCGTTCCCCCAGGTCACAACCTTTGGCCAAAATGTTGTAAAGGCCACGTGGTCCGCGGAGAAGTCTTTGTGGGTAGCAGACCTGGAGGATGTTCACTCCGGGGAGTCGGGCACGTTGGACCTGCCGTGTCTTGATCCAGGCGGCCGGCACCTACAATCGCAAATCCGTCCCGAATTACCCTGGCATGCATTTGTTCAAGGGGAGATGTGGCATGCTTCTGACTGGCCAGAGAACTACTATTTCGCGGGGAAGAGTGTGGCATATGTAGGCACTGGACCAACATCCGTCCAGGTCCTTCCTTACATTCAAGCACAAGCGAAAGAGGTCAGCGTGTTCTGCAGAAGTATGACATACTGCCACCCATTCACAAATATTAAGTACCCAGGTTGGGTAAAATGGGCGTTCCGGTGGATTCCCGGCCTACTTGCTCTGTATTCCCTCATTGTCGCGTCGCTCTTCGCCCCTTGGGCCTACTTTGCCTTTAGGCCCGAAACGTGGCTTGCAAGATACACGGAGCATTATTGCCGCAGGGTTTTAGAGAAACAGGTTCCTGATCCGGATCTCCGGAAAAAGCTGAGCCTTACCGGTCGATTCGGGTCAAAACGACCGCTGGTTTCCCTCTCCGGATTCTTCGATGTTCTCCAGAAAGAGAACGTTAATGTGGTCAGCAATCCAATCATGGCCGTGGACGAAGCTGGCATCACCACAGAAACACCCATGACAAATGATGCAGTCATTCAGATAGATGACGCAGACAGCAGTGTTTCCAGCGTCTCCACAGAAAGACCGAAGGTTGGAGGCACACATATAAAGGCAGATGTAATCATCTGGGGCACCGGATTCCAGATGCAGGGATGGGGTGGAGCGGTGCCGACTTTAGGCCGTGAAGGTAAACTGCTCAGCGAACACTGGAAAGACTCCCCAAAGACGCTCTTTGGTACGTACACTCTCCATCTACATCCGTGGAGCCCGCGTTAAGCTATGACAGGCACTATGACATCCGATTTTCCAAACCTCGTTCTGGTCAATAGTCCGAATACAACGACTCCTTGGGGCAGCCTGATACGGAGCCTCGAACATCAGGCAAGGGTCAACCGCAAAATTATCCGACACATACGCAAGAGCTCGAAAAAAGATCCTAGCTACACGATAGAGCCTCGACCAGAGAAAGAGATTGGATGGACGGAGTCGATGCAGCCAGAGCTCGAAAAGCTGGCCACCAGCCCCAAATATGGACCTGCATTCTACTACCTCAATTCTAAGGGACAGAACACATTCTTCTGGCCTTGGCCGCAGCGATATTACTGGTGGAAGACAAGGAAATTAAATATCGGAGATTATGTTGAGAGATGTGGCTTGCACAAGGAATTATGATCCCATAAAACATTTTCTTGAATTAATGGATGACATCAATGATTATTATTTATTGTACTACTTAAGGGATTTACATCAACCCGACTATGCGTACAAGCTCTTGCTTCTTTTGCTTCTTTTCTCAAAATATGACCAACCTTTCCGTAAAATGCATCTTCCTTATGTTCCGTATCGAATTTCGAAGAACATGGGGACATCATTAGCTCTTGAATTTCGATGCTTGTAAAATTTTCCTGGCGATAACGACAGATATTCTGAGCATTATTCAGCATCTGTTCAACAACGGCTCCAATTAGGGGAACCGAAAGCACTTTACAAATGCAGCCCACTGGCTCTAGAGAATGAAACATTTTTCCAGCCACCAGTCCGCGAGAAAAGAATTATTCGAAGGAAACAAAGGGTGAAACGAACAGAGCAGAGAATTAAATAGAAGCAGACTTGGACTACCTACTTGAATGTGGAACCTATGTTTCAAACCATGCCTCGGCCCTTTCTAGTCAATGGCATCTCTTCTTCTTCACACTGCGAGGGCTCCAGATGGACCGTCAAGGGGTCTTTGATTCAGACTATCTCAAAGTAGTTTTCTTCATGGCTTGCAAGATGTCGCTCAAGTTTGTTGCTACTCTAATCTTCCATCTCACCTCTAATCAGGAGTGATTTGAATGGTCCTTCCGCTGATTGTCAAAGTATTACCTATTCCAAGACGGTTAAAAGTTTCCGGTGGCGATGGCGAGGCAACATGCAGCGAAGGAAACTTGTGCGGCATTGACAACCCTAGTTGACACTAAATCAGGCTCTGTTGAAAACGAAGAAAATTTATCGTTGCCAAGGAACACTGGTCTGGCCAAATCTTGAAGGAGAGCACACTATTACGAGCCACTGGCTATAATTCCTCTGGATTCGAAGTTAAAGGGAGAAAGTTTTGTTAGAAAATGAATTTAAAAGGGGACACAGGTGGTGAAGGCGAGATGAAACGAAACTGGTGGAAGATCAACAGGCTTGAATTTACCTGTATGGCACAAGTACCACAAGATCACCTTGCTATACCAGCAGCAGAGGTAGATATCGAGAGATAAGGCGCTTGGGACCTTATTAAGGCTGAAAGATGCTGAACGTTGGAAATCTGAATAGTTACATAGTTAAATTTTTTACAGCGTAGAATAAAAAATTATGAGTCGTACCTAGAACACCCTTCTTATGTGCGAATTCAATGGATGCAGTGGCCAGGGTTGTTGAGGTTATGGCTGTTCGCATGAGCAAACCCCTGCTTGAATACTAGAAAATAGTTCGCGAACCTGTTCGAAACTCACGATTTTTGTCGAATCGAATCGCCCGTAGATTCGAAGCCCGAAATTCAAGGTTCAAATTCTATTCGATTTGTTGAGATTGTTCGAATAGCTCTAAAGTTCGTGCGGAGCGGCAGTCGGCCCACGACTACTCTTCTGACGGCTCCGAAGGCCAATGACACAGGCGGAATTTGTAATTCACATTCCACTTTCCTTCTGCGCTACCGAGAGAGAGAGCTAACCTTGGTTGATTGAGATATTCGCTGAGCTAATTAAATGGGATTGGCTTAAACTCCTCTCGGGCTTTGCTGGTGGCGGGATTCTAACATGTAGCCGTGCCAAGACCACAGTCCACTCACAGCGTTTTGGCATTCCACCGCCACCCGGAAACCTACTAATAATATGTAGCACTTCATGGTTATGTTCATTAGGTAGCCATTATGTAGATCTCAGCACAAGATTGTCCACTTGGCTTGTCTCAAGTTGTGGTTGAGTTGATTATTACAGTGACGTCCTCATCAATACCACTTGCCTGATGCTTCACATTCTCCGAATTCGCTGGACGGTCTTCAAGTCCGAAAGTGACTTGCCTGCGCCAGTTCTGACTTGCCGCCTTTACTGAATCTCTTTCAAAGTTCTTGTTGCCATTGTAAAATCCCAGTTTTTGGCAGTATTGCTTCAGGCCTTGTCGCTAGACACTGCATTCGGTGCTTCAGGCGACCATCAAATGAAAACGCGTTGATCGCGCTGATTTATACGTCAGCTTTTGCGATGGATAGATTCGGCATATAGCTTGCTGCCGTATCCTTATCCGATTGGCACTCAATGTTTCGCGCAGTGCCGCTAGATGCTTCCATGGGTTACACACGGATGGATGGATGGATGATTTCATTTACCCGACCCCTCGCGAACGATATGCAGGATTCAACAACTATATACATGTGTCTCTTCGTAATTGCCGTGTCTAATTTCCTAAGCGACCTTAATGCCTCGCCGAAGCCTTTCGTGGCTCCCTGAGCCCTTCGTTCTCATGTTGTCTTCATGGTACTCGGCTTTGAAACCGTTGTGATGCTTCAGCGAAGTCCAAGACGGCTTCCACCGTCTTCGCCTTCGAAGCATGGCTAACCTTACCTCTCTCCTCTCCTCCAGACCCTCCTAGTAGGGTTGAAATGCTGTTGAACGCCTCGCCGACCTTTCTTGGAGCTCTCGCCGAAGTGCTCTCAGCTCTGGACAGTCTAGCAGAACATGGCTTACACTCTCGCGTTCGCCACAGACACATAGGTCATTGTCGCGGAAGCGAAACGTCTTTGCATATGTTGATAGCCAGCAGTGGCCAGTTCGCAATTGGGTGAGTAGATAAGCCCGGTTCCTCGGGGAGGGAACCGTAGAGGCCACGTGTGTACTTGGCTGGCAAGGTGTTGTCAATCCGGCGCAGGTGGCTGCCAGTCTTCGACCCTTTCCATTCCTCTGCCCATTGGTCCTGAATAACTTGCCTGATATGTGCTCTCTCGCGTGATATCAAGGGACTGAACGGGTGTGTCTTGCCCGGGATGGCGGCTTCTTTAGCAAGCTGATCGGCGATCTCGTTCCCCGGTATTTCGCAGTGACCGGGGATCCATTGTAGTCGAATCATTGTACCATGGTTCTTGGTGGTTTTGGCTGCTCGTAGGATGGCGTGGATGATCTGCTGTCCCGACTTGTTCCCCGGTCTTCGAATAGCTTGCAGTGCCGACATACTGTCGCTGAAGATCGTGGCGGATCTCACCCGCGCGTGCGATGCTGTCCAACGTCGAACCGCGACTTGATTGATGATATTGATAGCGTATAGAATCCCAATGAGCTCTGCCGCATGGACCGACCAGCGGTCCATACTGCCCACCTGTATTTGTATCCTGTCAGTTGTCTGCTGCCTCTCGTCGATCGCGACGGCTGCAGCTCCCATATGACCTTGTCGCCCCGAGGCGTCTGAGTAGATCATCACGTCCGAGATGGATCGTACCGTTTCCGCTTTCTCTATTGCGACCTCTCGATCAGGTTCTATTTCGATTCTGGCGAACCCCTCCGGTCTCCATGGAGGGAGCGGGGTCGGGTCAATCATCTCGATTTCTCTCAGTCTCTCCAAGTTCATTGTTTTCAACGCCTCTGCTAGAGGGAACCTGGCGTATGATCCAATATTGTCCCGCCTTCTCTGGGCCCGAAGAAGGGTGCTCCAGATAGGATGTTTTTGGGGCAGGGTGTGGAGTCTTGTAATGGTATTCTGTGCACGGAAGCGTAGTCGAAGATGGATTGGCCGGACGTGTGCTTCTACATCCAGCGCAGCTGTGGCCACCGTTCGAAATGCCGATAGAACGCGGATGAGCGCAGTCCGCTGTACGGTGCGTAAGTGCCGAAGATGCGTCTTCATCTCGGAGTGGGTCATGCCAGACGGTAGACGCATAGTCAATGACCGGTGCGACACACGCTTCGTAGAGCTGACGCATCTGCTCTGGGCGTAAATGCCGTAGTCCACCAAGAGCGAGGTTGACCTTTGTAGCTCGTTTGGCCGCCTGCTGTACGTGTGGTTTCCATCGTAGCTCATGGTCGAAGATAATTCCCAGTAGTTTGGCCGTTGTGGATGGTTTGACTGCTTTGCCATTCATGATCAGTTCCCCTTGGCACTGTTCCTTTCTCTTGCGAGTGATGTGGATAAGTTCAGTTTTCTCGGCCGCGAAGCAGGATCCGGTTCTCCGGGCCCATGCTTCGATGCGTGGTATGTCTTCAAACTGGATTCTGGCTAGGTTTCTCCTCTGCACTCCAGCCAACTCGCCAGCGAAAATAGTCGTCGATGAAGGCCGAAGCTCCGCCTTTGGAATCTACGGGCTGGTCCACCAGATCATTATTGAAGAGCGTGAACAGAATGGGCGAGAGTGGAGAGCCCTGCGCCAGCCCGGCATTGTCTAGCGGTGCTACCTCGGTCTGGTAGTCATCGAACCGGATACTGGCTTGGCGTCCGCTCATAAAGCTCGCGATCCATCGTCGGGCAACCAAAGGGATGCCCTTGGATTGGAGACGAGCGTCCAGGCTTGTCTGGTTGACTCCGTTGAACGCCCCTTTTAGGTCGAAGGCGACTAGCGTCACCACTTTTTGTTTGTACCACGCTTTGTCGATTGCGTTGGCAAGTACCAGAAGGGCTTGCTCGGTGGTGCGTCCTGGTCGGCCTCCAAACTGAGTGTCCGGTAGTAGCCCGTACTGCTCCGCGTAGAAGGACAACCGTCGGGCGACCACTGCTTCCAATAACTTTCCAAGCGTGTTGAGGAGCGAGATGGGGCGGTAGGCTCCTGGTTGCGAGTAGTCTGGCTTTCCTGGTTTCCGCAGAACTACGATCTGGGCGCATCTCCACCCCTGGGGGTGATATCCTAGTTTGATCGACACCGTGAAAATCTTGGTAATGATGCTCCCGAGGTAATCCCAGAGACGTTTCCAGACTAACATGGGAAGACCGTCTTCACCTGGCGCTGTTGATGGTTTTGCAGTACTGAGCGATCGGTAGATCTCGATCTCTGAGATCGGTTGCCATGGGATTTCGGCTGGGGGTCTAGGCAGCTGTTCGTCTTCGGCGGGCGCCATCGACGGGAAGAATGCGTCCATGAAAGCTTGCGCCTTTTCTGGATTATCAGCCACCTCCCTGTCGCCGACCCGGAGCGTTGGGACGCAACCCCACGCCTCCCGTGGTTT